GAAACTCATACCTTTCATTTTCATTTTGGCGAGGCCACTATCACTCTAGAAGACGTTGAGGTACTATTAGGTTTGAAAGTGGATGGTAAGCCTGTGGAGGGGATGACACCTGAGAATTCTATGGCACAGTGGATGGCGATGTGCTTTAGATTGTTGGGAATTACACTCGTTAGTGACATGTTTGATGGGAATAAGATTTATAGAGAGTGTTTAATCAACGAGTGTCTGCGTCCGATTCCAGAAAATGCCCCAAGAAAGGCCTATACACAGAGGGCCCGTGCATTACTTTTACTACTGATTGGAGGTTTCTTGATTCCTGACAATACGGGAAACAGAATACCACTTTGGATCCTGACAATACTCGAGGATTTGGATGTCTGTGCTACCTACAGTTGGGGGTCAGCTGTGTTAGCAAAGTTGTACTTTACTTTGTGTCAAGCTTCCGCGCCCGGGAAAAAAGACATTACCGGATGTTATATGCTGATGCAGATGAATTTTTTTGTTTCTTTGTTTATTTATATTTTTTTATTATATTTTTGTTTGTTTTCCTAATGTGTGCCTTTTCTGTTTGATTTAAAATTTCAGTTATGGGTTTGGAAGCGTATCCCAAGACTTCAACCAAAGAGGAAGGTTAAAGATGAGAGTTACTTGGTGCCGGATGCACCACTAGGCAATAGGTAATTATAGATTTATTTTATCAATTTTTATTTCCTATTATGTCTCAATCCAATGATTTATTTTATTATTTTTTATTTCCTATTATGTCTCAATCGTAGGTGGAAATGCCCAAAATCTAAAGCGAATATCGCCGCTCATTGTGTTGCTGGCATCAGGGATCAGTTATCTAGCCTAAGGGATGGAGATGTAAGTATTGATTTAAGTTGCTCGATAAAATTCCTTTTCATTTTTTTCTCTATTTTTTTTACCAATTTTTTAATTTTGGACAGTTTCTATGGACTCCATACACTCCCTTCATCGACGATCTCCCTGATTTCTATAAAGAGGGGGTTCATTTCTACCTCTGTAGGACGTGGATCTTTTGTTGGGCCATCAGAGAACCATACGAGCCCAATCGGGTCCTTCGTCAATTTCAATGCGTGCAAACTGTGCCAGAGTACCCGTTAATCAATGACATTGATCGCTGGAATGTGATACACCACGGATGCCTTGGGACTGGAAAGGCATATGATGATTGGGTGCAAAAACACACTGAGGTACGACCTCATTGGAATGTGAGAGATCAGCACGTGGTCCCTCATGAATTGGTTGATACGGAACTAGGTCCTCAATGCACATCGGACTACATGCCATGGTTTCAAAAGAAGACTATCAGATTTATGACTGATCCCACTCAACACGGCCCTCTGGCACAGGGTTATCACTCGTCTTCATCTCTGGAGAGATTTTATGTAAGATATATGTCGATATTTAATTTTAAATTTTTTTTATATTTTAATTCTTGCTATATCTTATACTTTATTAACATGGTTCAATTTTCTGCAGTCTTCAAATCTCAGCGACATATATCATCTCACTGATGCAGCCTTACGGGAAAATCCAAGCCTCGGTGGTAGTCTAGAGGATAAACTCTTCCAAATCTTCGACAAGAGTTTCAGTGCCCTGACTTTGGGCCCACGTGATATGAGCACTCAGCCCGATACTCAAGTTCTTCAGAAAAGACCCCCAGAGTCAAGTCAAAATGTGGTGCTCACGCAGAAAACAATATCAAAGCCTACTGGAGGAGGAAGGAGGAAGCGACCGGGAATTTCAGATCGAACAATCATAGTTCATCCCAATCCAACTCCGATGCAAGATGATGATGAAAATGATGAAGGCAATGAAAGCGATGAGGATTACTACATTAGGGGCGAAGAAGAAGAAGAAGAGTCCTCTCCACCTCGTGTTTCTTCCCAAAAGAAAAAGAAAACGGTCGAGGTTCGCAAGAGTGATAGGGTTAGTAAACCGGTCAAGAAGTATACTCCCGGCGACGGGGCTATAAGGAAGAAAAGGTCGTCAAAGTAATTCAATTGTAGGACTCTTTCATTTATAACTCTTTAATGTATAAATGTTGTAATTTGGATGATTTGGGATTTGAATTTGTTAATGTTTGTTTTGATGTGTTTAGAATGTGTTTATAGGTAATTTTATGCGTGAAATTTGGTTTTGGTGCTGTTTTGATAGATAGGGATTAGTATAGAAACCAATCCTTTATATTTTTCAAAGTGTCTGTCTGACCTTCTACTTGTTTTACGAAGAAATCGGATTTTGAGAATCCGAACTTAACTTACACGGTTTCTCAAAATCCGATTTAAACTTACCCGGATTTCTGAAATCCGACCTTACGCTAAAATCGGATTTTAAAAATCCGACTTTGGTCAAAATTTTATTTCAAAAAAAAAAACTAATAGTTTTTCTGAAAATATTTTATTTTAATATGATAGGGTCGGATTTTCAAAATCCGGCCTTCTCTTAATCTTGATTAATTTCATTAATTTTTCGTATTAAGGGAATGTCGGATTTGTAGAATCCGATTTATTTGGAAAATCGGATTTAGGAATCCGATATCGGTATTTTGCTCTTCCCCAAAATTCGACCTATATTTATCTCTACTCCTTTTTTTGAATCATTTTTTAACTCAAAAACTCCCCTTTCCTTGGTTAATTTTTTATTTTTTTATTATTTTCTTCCTAATTGCGGGGCCCACAAACTATAACTAGCAAAAGAAATTTCTTTTATGGGGAAAAACCGTCCAAACATAATCAAAATTTTTAATGTACCAGTAAGAAAAAAAGATAAACATCTCATTTATCCACCAAAACCAAAGACATGCTAAAGAATTCCAGAACTTGGCATCACTCATTGGTGTTTTTGAACAATAAAAAGGCCGGTTGGTTGATTCTTCCCGCAATTTCCAAAGCTTTATTGCAAAAAACAATCATCAGAACAGAAATACTTTGCTCACTTAAAAAAAAAAAGGAAAAAGAAAGAAAGAAAATACCCGGGTGGTTAAGACAATGTGAAGAACACAGAGGAAACTGAGGTTTTGTTTATAATAAACTTTCATAACGGTAATGGCGCCAATGGAGTAAGCATCACCACCACGGATGGAGACCCCACAGTTGGCCATGACGGTGATAACCACGTGTTCCTTGATATTAAAGGGACCCGGATCGAGGGTGAAGCTCCATTTATAGAAGCTGAATTTCCGGGTAGGCAGCGTGGCCGCCATGAATTTGCCGACATGAATTTGCCAGGATGGCGAATATGGTTAAGGGCTGCGTCCTGAAAATGAAGAAAGTGGTGGTGGCGAGGGGTGGTGAGCCGCCGTTCCTTCCCAACTGAACCTGTCGTTCCTTTGCTTAATTTTGGGGAAAAAAAATCCGATTTTCCCTTCCCAAATTTGATTTTGCCTTTCTTCCGGTTCTGATTCACGGCCAACTAGAACAAGAAATTATAATTTTTGTTTTGGTCCTGTTTTTTGGGTTTTTTTCAAAATTAAAAAAGAAAAAAGAAAATTTTTTTGCTGGGTCAAAGTTTGTAGGCCCCACAATCAGGGGAAAACATTAAAAAAAATGAGGAATTAACGGAAAGAAGAGTTAATCCGTTAAATGTGTAAAAATTCTGTTAAATCAATTAAAATTGATGAAAAAAAATTTTTATGGGACTATTTTTGCCAATTAAAAATACACGGTGACTCGATCTTGCTTTCCTCAATAGCTGGGGTTGAAAAGTGCATTTTGTCCAAAAGAAATAGTGGACAACACCTTTTTTAGTACTCTCTCAATTCAAAAATATATGTCGATAGAGAAGTTTCACAAAGTTTAAGGAGACAATAAATATTTAGTCAAAATACTAAACTACCCTTATTTATTCTCAATACAATTCTATTCCCAATATCATTTTGTTCTAATACCCTTCTATTTTAAATACAATTACAACTTCTAATATAGGGGCAATGTTGGAAGAAGATGACAAAATTTGCCTAGATATGCAAAAACGACATCTATTTTGAAAAAATTTAGTTTTCCTCCAACGACATATATTTTGGAATGGAGGGAGTATGAATTACTAACAATGAATGTGGATTTTTTTTATTAGAAAGAGAGAGAGAGAGAGAGAGAACAAGAAAGAGGACGTGGTAAAATTTTAAGGGAGAATTATTTAAAAGGGCATGGAGAAGATAAATATTATTGTTAAAGGCATTACCATTTCTATGATATAGTAAAAATGTTAAAATCATTTTAATATCTTAAATGACTAGTTTATCTTTTCCCCCAACCAATAACACTCCCTTTCATTCCTGTTTTTCCCATTAATTTGAACCTAAAACCATCATAGCAACACAAATCTTGTTAAGTTTTGGATTTCTAGCATATATTCCAATTTCTGCTGAAAATCATTGGGTTCAAGTTTTCTCACAATTAAGATAATGAAAACTAATTTATAGAGGAGACAACAACCAAGGATCACTCCGATTGAATGGTTTAATCAATTCAGAAATCTAATAAAATTCTGAATTTGAATTGAGAGGAGAAGTCACGGTCAAAAGCTAATTATTATTTTTGCTTCTTCTTTCTTGTTGTTTCTCCTTTTTTATTGAGAGAGGAAGAGGCCGATTGATGTTACTGGAGAAGAAAAAGAATGTATCACATCATTTTGGTAAAAGAAAGGTTGAAATAGTCTTTTAAGTTATTAGGAAATTTTAGTTGTATTTATCCAATTTACAAAATATAATAAAAATTGGTTATACCCTTAATAATAATATTAATCTTTACAATGCCCTTTTTAAAAATTTTCCCAAATTTTAAAACATGGCATATACCTTTTTTTTTTTTTTTTGGGTTCCATTTTCACATAAACTTTTTAGTGATTTGTATTTGTTTGATATGTTCATAAATGGTCATTATCATTTTTCTCCCTTTGTATTCTTTTCCGTTTCAAAATGAGGCAATTCATTACAATAAGCCATTTATTCATTTACTAGGTGGACTTTTATAACACGTCAATTATCTTCAAGGGATGTGAATGTTCATTACCTACAACTCTTTTCTAGACAAGTAGAAGGAAATGAAGAATATAGGAAATGCTCCCAAAATGGAGAGAACATAATTGAATTAAAAGCCAGAAAGCTTAGACAATAACAATAATGACCATTACAGAAACAATTACATAATGCAGCATCACTAGTTCACACACAGGCATATTCCAGAAACAGAATTCTAAACCTAGGAAAAATTGCATCCTCAGCATTACAGGCGACCCATGGCCAGCTTAAACAGGTAACAGGAACAGAAGTTCTTATTTTACTAGAATTTTCGAGGTGGCGACTACTATAATAAAGATATTACACAAGAAGCAATCAAACACAAGTTACTCCTTGCCATCAGCAGCTCGAAGAGAGCCGAGCTGCACTGGAGCTTGAGTTCCTACCACCTTAGAAGATCCATAGACAGATAAATCCACGCCTTTCGATTTCTCTTTCTCAATTTGCTCTTTGATCCAAAAGTATGTAATCCTCAACCCATCCTGTGGAATTCAATAAAGGGAAATCATTTTATTATCAAAAGCATCATAATACAAAGTAGGAAATTAACCAAATGTAATGGTGAATGCTTTAGTTGGTATTCAAAACACACCTTGAGTTTCATTGTTGGAGCCCAACCAAGTTTTTCTTTGATTAGAGTATTATCTGAGTTACGACCTCTGACGCCCTCAGGGCCAGGAATGTGTTGAATTGGAAGCTTCTTTTCCTCAAAGCTAAGAACCATCTCTGCCATCTCATTCATGCTCACCATCTCATCACTGCCGATATTCACTGGCTCACGGAAGTCGGACTTTGTCAACCTAACAAAACAGGATTTGAAACGATCATTAAGCCAATAATCAATATGATACTGATATGACTATATCCAATTTTAAGGTTACATACTTAGGCGCATATATTCATGTCATAGATCTAAGACTACAGTATGAATTGTTCAACGGCATAGATATAAGTTCAACAATTGCCAAAAGTAAAGCGTACAAATTTCAAATTAGCACAAAGGTGACAGCTGAACTGTTACATGCATACCAAAACTCTGAAACATAGTTTATGAATGCTGAATACTCTAGTTAGAAGATATGTTTTCCTAGAAAATTTATTCTTAGTCCCATAAAAGACATAATGAAATGTACCCTATTATGTAAATTAGGAGAGAACCAACAACAAAATGTGACATGTTTAACAGTACAGCAAAAGGACGAGCAGAGAAAATAACAGATAAAAGTGCAAAAAGAAGCACTCAGGACAAAGGATGTCCACATTCAAATCAGGAGGATTTTGGTTCACTCATAAAATTAGTATAATGCACTATTAAAGCTGGATAATATCGATGCGTGATCACATAGGAGAAAGCGATGTACAGTGAAAGAATTGTAGGCAAATCACGTTACTGCAGACACATACTCTACATAAAATCTCAGTCAAAATATTCTTCTGTATATTAGTCAGTTTTCTCACCTAAGAACACCTTCAACACATTCATCAATGAAAGTGAAAGAACGGGTTTGTAACCCATCTCCCCACATTTCAAACTTCTCCGTCGAAGTGATTGCTTTTCTACAAAAAGCAGCAGGCGCCTTCTCCCGCCCACCTACAAAAGTCGCAAGCGACAAAATCTGAATTAAACTACTAGTGGACAAAAAGATAAACCATATTCAATGTACGACTAAGCAAAATATTGAATACCTTTCCATGTTCCAAATGGACCATAAATGTTATGGAACCTTCCAATACGGCACTCGATGCCAAAATCCTTGTTGTAATGCTTACACAGTTCTTCAGTTGCAAGTTTCTCCAAGCCATACGCATCTTGAGGCTAAAACCGGGAAAAAAGGCGAACTCTTACACTTTGCAATTGAAATAGAAACCAGGTCATCTTCCAATTATAACCGCAAAAAATCACAAACCTCAGCAGGCCACGCGTCAGACTCCTTCAGACTCACATTTGTCTCCAATTGTTTAAATTCAGGATAAATGCATGCACTAGAAGCATAGAAGAACCTGAAGCAAGCCAACGGTTAGAAAACATTCTGAAGTTAGATGCACACTCGCAAAGACCTAATTGACTGTAATCAGAAGACAACCTATAGCCTCAACCTTTCAACAGCTCTAAAAGTGTCATACGTGAATTGCCAATGGATAACTATATTTATGAAAAATAGAGTTTCATCAAATGAAACAATCCCACCCACCTCTTCACTCCATTGATCCTGGAAGCTTCAATCATGTTGAAACTGATCATGGTGTTGTTGTACATAATCACAGAGTGATTAGACTGAATAAATCCCATTCCACCCATATCAGCAGCGAGGTTGAACACATGGTCTACTCCTTGGGTCACCTTCAAACAGTTCTCCATGACCCTAAGATCAACAAGGTGAAACTCATGGCAAAACATATCCTCTGTCATGTGCTCATTTTTCTTCCAGTCCGAAGCAATAATGTAGTGGCCCTCCGTCTTCAAGCGACGGGCAATGTGAGAAGCAATGAAGCCACCAGCCCCAGTGATGGAGATCCTAAGCTTCTCCGATGGCCAGTAAGGTTCTCTTTCAAGGGCTTCATAGGTGTAGGCTCCATAATTAGTTTCTCCCGCGCTTCCCATTCTGCAAAAAACAAAATAAAAAAATAAAAATCGATGAGCTTAAATCAATTCTATGCCAGAACACCAATAAAAACACAGACAAGATGAAACCAAAAATTCACAATATGGGGCAGAGAGGAGCATTCGATCACTCAGATATATGTATTTATGACTACTGCAGTAAAGACATCACATTTAGTAAAAGAAGCATCAATTAATCCAAGAGTCCTTCAGAGTCATGATCGAACAAAAAAAAATCAAAACCCACCATTCAATATTTTATAATAGTCCAAATCATCGCCGGAAGTAGATCTGATTTCTGAATGTAGATGCTTCATTTACTGACATTAACAAAGAATCTCTAAATTTTTCACCAGTGAATATCACACGCTATCAGATATTTTAACTTTTCCTAGGATGCATTCACGCTTAAATGCAAAACTGAGCAACAAAAAATGACACTTTAGAGCTGAATTCGATTTTTTCCATTTCTACCAAAGGCAAGCATCATTACGCCACTTATGGGAGTGTAACATAACTGAGCCCACATAAAAACCAAAAAAAAAAAAAAAGGGCAACAAGGAATTCGGGAAAAAAAAAAAAAGAAAAACTTTATAGCCTCATGTGAAAGAATCCAAAGAATCAAGCTGCCAGAAGGTCTGCACTTAATTGACAACTCACAGCGATTCAGGCATCACCACCATCCCGGGAACCCCAAAAAAGAATCAATAATAAACAGAACAAAACAGCAAAGATGAAGAAGAACAAATGCCATAACAAAAAGGGAAGAATTCAGCATGTTTTGCAGAGATCCATCCATGAAACAGAGCACATTTTAAAGATTCAAAATCATCATGGCGAAATCCCCTCAAGAAAACCAAGAACTGGGATAGAATTATACCTTAAAAGTGCTTAAAACTCTGCAAAGATAAGACTGGTTCCAAGAGAAGAAATGGGCAGCTCTGGCTTTGGTGGGAAAAGATTACGGGATAGGGAGAAGAGGAATTGAATGGTTGGCGCAGACTGCAATGGACGGAGTTTTCTTGGGCAAAAAAATGCTATTTATAGAGCCCCCAAAGAAGCCAAGGAAAAGAAGTTACTGCTTAGTGCTTACATACAGTTAATTTTTTATTTTTTTTTTTGAATAGCGCAAATGGAATATTTTTTACTAATATTTTGTGTAAAGGGAGAGGAAGATTCCAATGTTGTCCTTTTGGACTAAAAAAATATGAAGATGGCTAATTTGTGTTGACATGATTGCAATTAGGAAAAATCATTTTTTCGAAACAGACCAATTTAGTTCAAATTTAGATTACTTTGATAATCAATTCGGACAGAGATTGTAGCTAATGTACAAATATATTATGGTTAAAGTAAAAAAACTAAACTATTTTTTATATCTCATTCCGAAATTATTCTTAAATAATAATGCATTGTCCACATTTTCACTTTCTCTCCTTCTAGCCTCTTCAAGCCTCTCATCAATGTTCACAATATCTTAATTTATTAAGTTACATTTTGTTGTTTTGTTTCCATTTCTAAATATTATCTAATCAAATAAAAATAATCATTCATTATTTAGTTCTATATTGAGATAAGCAAATCTTGTGGGGCTCGTGTTTCTTTTATAAGGCTCTGGAACTTTTATTCGAGTGAGTTCGATGGTTAAATCGACAGTACTAACAAATTATAACAGTGCATATGAAATAACATTAAATTCAGAATAAACACAAGCACTTATTTTATTTTGTATTCTTAGTAGTAGCATCTTCTCAAACACATTTCTTTGAACCATTTCTAACATTTTTATCATTTTTAATTGATTATTATATATTTTATCTAAATTTAAAAACATAAACAAAAAATCGTTATGTGACGGTTTGAATTTGCGACGAATATTACGTAATGCTCTGACTAAACGATTGTTCAATGAGTCAATGAAAATACACAATCAATCACGAAAAGAAAGAATTTCTCAAAATCGACTTAGCATATTACGAAAATAAATTTAAAAAAAAACACACACACACAAAACTTTTTTTTTTTTTTTGTCTCGATCTCTGAATGGGCCCAGGCCCATTATTAGAAAGACAACTTATCCGGAACTGGAGAAATTTCTCAAAAGCTAATTTTTAATGATGACTCGAATTGAATGTAAAATCTGGGTTCCACGAAGCTTCCTTTTAAAGCGTATGATTTTGGGCCCATTTCTGCATCACCGTTCCATCAAAGTCCAAACCAATACTTGGTGTCATTTTGGGCACGCCATTATAAATGTTAGCAGCAAAAAGCCGAAATCCTTAATTTACACAAAAGGTATTGTAGGAATGTTATATAATTATAAGAATTATTTATCAGAAAAGTCCTAAAACGTTTCTGTCTATATTCACTCGGTACTAAAAAGTTCAAATATCCTTATCTCCCCAGAAAGCGAATTATTTTGTATTTATTCAGTTTTTCGTATAAAATGGAACGGTCAACCGTGAAATCACATGCTAGTCACGTGGGGGTTGACCGAGGGTATGGGGCGTCCAAAAAAAAAAAAGAGTCTTCAGCCTTACTCACGTGACTTGTACGTATTTTCCGCCAAGCGGAAAATTCAAAATTCAAAAATTAATTTTTTGAATTTTGAATTTCGCCGCCAAATCCGGTTGTGACCACCGGTTCAACCAACGACATCCACCGGTTCAACCACCGGCCGCCACCGGTACAACCACCGGCCGTCACTCAGGTAGTTTAGCACCGGTGCCCTAAAATCAACCACCGGTTCAAGCGTCGGTCACAGGTTCAGCCTACTAACTATAAAATAGACAACCAAGCCTAATACTATGGTATTAGATTATTATGGGCCAATCTGATTAATTGTTTCTGGGCCAAATAGTATTTTATAAAAGTCCAATCCCTTTAACAAACCTTATTCCCTTATAACCCTACGTCCCAAATTATTTTTGTAAAGAAAACGGTGCGGCCGCTGGGGGGAGAGAGAATCTAGTTTGGGGGATTAGGGTTCTTTGTTGTCGAACTCAAATTCTTGCATATTTCTGGCAAAAAACAAGTCTTTTGGGTGAAATATGGGTTAGGGATTGGAGGGTTTCGATTGATTTTGGAGTTTCCTTTTCGGACTGAGAGGAAAGGGGAGTAGGGTTTCTTGAAAGGTTTGAAATTTGAAGTGTTTGATCTAATTTATGAAGAAATGCGACGATCTCCAACACCGCCGCCATTCCCAGAGCACTCTGTTTGCTACTGTGGCTTACCAGCGGAGCTAACGGCGGCAAAACTTTCTAATAATCGAGGGCGAAAATTCTTCGGATGCCCACGATATCATTTTTGAGAATCATGTGGATTCTTTGATTGGTTCGATTCCGAACGGTGCGCACGATGTATCAGCTGCTGCCGGGCTTTTTTCAAGCCTTGATCAAGAGAAGGGAATAAATTGCCAAGAAGAATGATTTGTTGGCTGAGAAAGAAATGTTGTTGGCCGAGAAAGAAATATTGTTGGCCGAGAAAAATCGAATGTTGATGGAAATGGATCACAAACTGTTGGCTTCGAGGAAAAAAAATAAAGATTCTACTCTCTGTTCTTGTTGCAACTTGGGCATTTGTGTTGTTTCGGTCGAATGGAAATGTTGGCAGGGTAAGGTGAATTAGAAAGAATTTGTGGCCAAGGCTGTTTTAATTAGCAGCAATTATAGTTGTAGTTGTAGTCAATGTTCAAGGTTTGTTTTGGTTTAGTTTAGTGTTTAAGGTAAATTATGTTGTTGTTAATATTCCACTATTAGGTTTAAATGTATGGTGTTTGTAATCGGACCTAAATGAATAATTGTAATTTTTATCGTATTTGTAATCGGGCCTAAATGGATAATCGTAATTTTTGTCGTGTTTGTAATCGAGCCTAAATGAATAATCGTAATTTTGTCGTCTTTGTCGTCTTTGTAATTTGGGCCTAAATGAATAATCGTAATTTTTGTCGTGTTTGTAATTGGGCCTAAAACAAATAAATAATCGTTATTTTTGTCATGTTTGGTAATTTGTCGATGTATAATAAATAGTCTGACATTTGTATTTTTTGCAAAGTAAAAAAACGTGAATCAAAACGCTAAAATTAAACTACATCATTAGTAAGACCCAAGAATAATATATGGGAAAATTTGATGGTTATCGTAAACCATCTGCATTAACATATATATAATATATATGTATATATCAGAATAGATTCCAGTGACAATTACTACTAATAGTTCACTGAATTAAGATTCACCCTAAATTACTACTGCGGAATCCAAACAGCAAAAAACTCTAGAAGAGTTTGAGTTACATCAATACTAGAAAAGGGAACATAAAGATAGAACTGGAGCCTTTAGATGCAATGAGTGAATAAAGTACTTTTGCGAGGATTTTCACCATGGAAGGTTTTGGCCCTTTTCCTCCCGACAGATGTTTCCACAGTTTCCTCACCTAATATCTGAATTGCCTTTTCAGGACTACTGCCATGACCATCAGCATCAAACCTTACCTTAACAGCAGGTAGCCTTGCACTTGTTCTCTTTGGTGTTGAAGGGGCTGATTTTTTGCGATTTTTGATGGCTTTGTTAGTAGCCGGTGAGCTTACGGCAGTAGGGAGAATTACAACATCTTCTTCATGACCATCAAGATTGCCCGACAATGTCACATTTGTTATTGTTGCTTCACCAGGGGACCTTTCACCAGCACTTGGAGTTTGATTGGAATCATGTTCCAACTGGTCCATCTACAACAAAGCACATCATTCAGCCCATGGAAGTTGAAAGAGAACTAAATCAATAGAAGAGAACTAAAGAGAACATTACATTTTGGTGCTGCTGCTGATTGCTTGACAACTGTCATCTGTATTGTTTGGTTCTGCCACATCATGATTTTTGAACAATGAATGGTGTAGCTGGGTCAGAAAATTAAGGAACCACTCCCACAAATCCGTGCTCTCTATCTCAAGAACAGCATAGGCTACTGGAAACATGTTGTTTGCACCAAACCCAACAGCAGTCAGTAGTATTCCCTCGACAACAGTTTTTAAAAACGTCCCATCTATACCAATTATTTTCCTGCAACCCTCTTTGAATCCCCATTTGCATGCTTCATAACAAAGATATAACCTCTTAAAGGTATTAGGACGTTCAGGGTTAGGGTCCTTCATCAGCTCAAATGTGGTGCCTGGGTTCAGCTTTTTGGTTTCTTCCATGTAACCTTCCAACTTCGCAAACTGTTCCACAATGTTGCCTCTAACCGTTTCGAGAGCCTTTATCTTGGCCTTGTAAGCTTGTATTCTAGAAATAGTAATCTTCTCATTGAGAACTCTAAATTGCAGAGTTCCCACACTCATTCTTGGATCATGTGCAAAATCAGCAAGATACAGTCTGAAACGATGTTGGAGTTGCAGTTCCTATTCTTCTCCGAAATCTTGTCACAAGTATGTTTATCGTTAAGATTTCTGATCTCAAATGTTAGATCCTCTTTTGAGACTCTAGCCCCATACACTTCCCAGTTGCAACCCTCAACACACCGTGCGTGGACAACTTCAGTATCATTTTTTTTGAAGTGAGTACCCCTCCTTTCAACAAGAGCATGTATTCTGATGGCTTTTAACAAAATCCATTTGTCACCAAATCTTTGCGTGGCTTCGAAGGTTGGGTTATGCATCTCCTTCTTAGGATTAAACTCTCTATACCTTTTTAACTTCTACATGGTCCTCCTCATCACCAGAACCTTTAACTTCATGCAATTCATCACAAGAAGCCTGGTCAGATTCTGAATCTCCAGTCTCAGGTACATGTGCATAAGGCACAAACTCATATGGCTTCCTCAAACTTGCCCAGCAGGAAGTACGCATGGACTCATTGGCATATTTTCAGCTGCTTTCATCATCAGAATCTGACAAGCTGTAATCACTCTCTGGTTAATAATCTTCATCATCTGCATCACTCTCTTCACCTTCATCTAAATATGCTGGACGTTTGGGTTTAGGTCCTGGTAATGGATCATATTCATTGACACCTATCCTGTAGATAACAACAGCCTTACCCTTCTCTGCAGACTTGATTTCCATCAGTGATTTCAAATCTTGATCTGAATTTAACCTTCTAAAGCCATCAAATTCTGCAACATTAGGGTCTATGTAGAATAGATTGTGAGGCCTGCAGAATCCAATACGATCTATAAACGAGTTATCCTCTTCTAGCTTAAGGTCCTCAGACTTAACTTCATCAAAATAGTCTACCTCCACTTGAAAGAAAACAAGTTTTCCAGTCTTGTTTGTCACGAAACCACCCATTGTGATGAATTTTGACAGTAACAAGGCCAGAGCCTTCACCTGAAACAACATGGAAATACATTAATACACAAGGGTTTAAGAGAGGTTGATTGAATAACATATGCATGTCAACAATAAAATTATTCCTATGATACACAGTTTCAGAAACCCTAATTTCACTTAAAAAATGCATCTGAAAAAAAAAACATGGCACTTATGCATATGAAATAAACAAAGATGGCACTGTTATATTTTATTAACTGAAGCATACAATTTTTTATTCAATTTCAAAAATCAGTTGTCCCTTCCCAACAGTACAACATGTTCCCTGCATAACTAACACCAATCCCTAACCCACCATTTGAGTTAAACAATTCTAAACCCCAAACCCATAGTCAATACTAAATTATAACACAAAAACCAAAACAAATTACTTACCGTATTCCGGAATTTCAGAGACTTCGTCATCAGGACGAATATAATCCTTTCCCCTCCACATCGACGGTGACCAAAGCCAAAAGAGCGTGCTCTTGGACCTTCAGTGTTAAAGCTGACTACCGGGGTTGTGAACTCCGATGACAAACCTGACGGCCTTCCAATTGCAACGAACAACCCTTTGCTGCAATCCTTAGAACACAAGACTTCTCTTTTTCTAGAAATTTAGCAAAGCCCTTTTGATTTCAGGAAACCCTAATTCCCAAACTCCGATAATAAACCTGACTGCCTTTTCGATTTCGAAAACCCTAACCCCTTTTGCAGTGAAACTGAAGAGGAAACACAAAAAAGTCAAAACCCTCCAATCCCTAAGCAAGATTGAAACATGTTGTTGTTTATTTTCAGAAATTCACCAGATCTGATGCGTTTTGTAAAACCCTAATCCCCAACCTAACACCATCTATCGTTTTCTCTCTCTCCGAACCCGATAATTCCAATGACAAAATGGACAAAATGACTTTCTTTTTGTTTTTAACTAATGTAGGGTTTCATCTGGAAGTTTGGGTTTTAACTTTTCCTATTAAAAAAATTGAGTCGGCCCAGAATGTTGTTTAAGTGTTTTATGTTGCCCATGTATTGGGATTAGGCTCAAAATAAAAATAATTGGCCCATTTGATGATTTATTGGGCTATCAAACTCCACTTTTGCCCCATAGTCACGGCTGCCGGATTATTGCCGGCTGGTGTCATTGCCCGCAAGTTCTCGGTTACCACCGGGAATATCACTAGTTCCATATATTGGCCGGTGGTCAATGTTTGTTGAACCGGTGGTCAACTACCGGAATTTAGCCGTGACCGGTGGTCGGCGGTCGTCACCCATCGACAAAGTGGCCGTTACCGGTGACGGCCGGTGGTTGTACCAGTGGCGGCCGGTGGTTGAACCGGTGGACGTCGTTGGTTGAACCGGTGATCACAACCGGATTTTGACGGCGAAATTCAAAATTCAAAATTCACGTGAGTAAGGCTGAAGACCCCTTTTTTTCGGACGCCTCATACCCTCGGTCAACCCACGTGACTAGCATGTGATTTCACGGTTGACCGTTCCATTTTAGACGAAAAACTGAATAAATACAAAATAATTCGCTTTCTGAGGACATAAGGACGTTTGAGCTTTTTAGTACCGAGTGAATATAGACAGAAACTTTTTAGGACTTTTTTGGTAAATAATTCTAATTGTAAAAAGATTGTGGTTTAGATCAATTGTGGATTCAAAAAATTAATGGATAGAAGAAAGTATTTTATTGTGTTACCTTGATTTTCATGGAAAATCTTACTTTCTGAGCCATTGGCATTCTGTAAACTTTCATATTATACTAGTTATATTCTCTCATATTCTCTCATAATGAAGTCTTTTGTAAAAACTCACTTGGTTCATACAGTTGTACTCTTTCGTCCCGAAATAATTGTCCAGTTTAGGATTTCATTTTTAGTACAATTTGTACTATAAATTGAAATCTAAGCTGAACAATTAATTTGAGACAAATGAAGTATCATTCAGCGTTGACTGATTTACAACAAGTCTAATATAACTTATCTCTCGAAAAAAAAAAGAAAAAAAAATCTCACAACGAAAGCCTCCTGGTCATCGACATGTTGTAGTTAAACTCTACAAACTAAAATTTGTTCAGAATAAAATTATAAATATTATTAGATTGTTATTATAGTTTTTAAATTAATCAAGAGAGTGAAATAAATTAAAGATCCATTTAGTAGCTTGGTTTGTTACAGTATTGCTCGGATCATACTAAATTTTCTTTTCAGCACAAAATTTTCCATTTGAACTAGTCGGTCACACAAATTAAAACTTGTTTAATGTTAAATAGTGCTTAAAGCTAAAGGAAGTATTACAGTTTCATCAAGATTATTTTTTTAGAAATATATAGAACTACTTCTACTAGGTGAGAGTATACGGTAATTTGTGCCTGTCACGCATATTTTCTTGGAGTATATTTATCCACAATCGATTAGAAGAGTTATGACTATAAACTAGTACAAATTTGTAAACTCAATGTAGATTATTTTTTTGGGACGAATATAATATTATTTATGTCTATCTCAAGAAAAATAAAATAATACTCCTTACGTTTATCAAAAAAAAATAATTTACATTAATTTTTTAAATTATTATTAAAAACATTAAAAATTAGAAAATTCAATTTTACATACTGGAAAATAATTTCGTTTTGATTTTGTTCCACACTAGATCAATACTTTGTTTCCTTTGTAGAATTACTATAACATTATAGCATGAAAATCCCTCTCAATCTTGTTCTCTTCTATTTTTAAAATAAAGTAAGAAATATTCCACTCAATATCATGAAAATATGAGATAAAGGGCTTGAGTTAAATTTCTTAAAAATAATTTGAAGTGATATCATATCCATTAAGCACTAATATATAGTGCAATTTAGTTATTCAGTTAAGACGTCAAGGTAGATATATATACATCCTGTGTTTTGAACCAAACCATAAGAACGCATATGTATCGTGATTTCTCTCATAAAGGTACCACACTTAGTAGTTTAATTATTTGAACTCTTTAGCTTCATCTTCTTGTGTCAAATAAATTTCTAACTGTGCACCACAAAGAAAAATGAAAAAAAGCAAATATGGATTTAATAGAATAAAGAAAATAAGACCTAACGATCAAGAAATGTTCTCTTTCATCTCCTTCCTCGTCAAGGCTTTCATGATGACTGACTTTCTTACTCACATAAGACCTAACGATCGACTCAATTGCATTCATGATTGCTAGACTTAAAAGGAAAAACCCCATAACTAGACTAAACAAAATCATCAACACTAAAAAACCAAATGTAACCAAATCGGAACGGATAGTTTTCTTCAAAACAGTCCCCATAGTTTGCCAAAAGTACAATACCGGAATCAGGATGGATGCCACTCCCACAACCGCCATCGAGATAATATAACACCATCCGTGCTGATCCTCCTCCTCTTCCTCGCCGTCTTCTTTCAACCCTAGTCGTTGACGGCGAATTCTCTTGCCATCTTTGTTATACACCTCCGTTAGTGTCCTACTCATCATAACAATGGGAAGAGATTATGGTCACGGAATTCTTCTACTTTTTTGAATTTTGACGGATACCTTTCAGGATAAAAAAATAAAAGAAAAGAAAAAACACAGATGAAGTCTCATTGAGCTTGATGGTTGACAATGCGTGGATTTGTACGGTGCTTAGGACGGGCGGCGATGATGACCTAGGCGGCGGCGAATGGCCTAAAACCTGCAAGACAGAGCCTCGGGTGTCTTCCGAGGGTAGACTCTCCGATGACTAAGTCAATAAGGGAATAGAGATAATAGAGAGAGAGTGATGTGTATCATGTGTAGAAGGTGTAGAAGATAGGTAGAAGATATATCTTATGGGAGAGGCACCACCTTTTTATATAGAGGTGGTGTTACCTGTTTCCTGAAACCTAGTTGTATTAGGTTTAGGCGGTGACTTAACCTCCAAGATAGCCGGCCCAAACCCATTAGGGTTAGGGTTAATTTTATGACTCGTCAAGTGCCCCTAGCAAGCCATATTCTCGAGACTTGATGAGAAGGATATGGGTTGCTACGAGTATTGATGTCTTCTCGGGTTTCGTGGTGTTGCCCCAGTTCTCGAACTCTTTTGTTCTCGGGTGTCACCTATACAAGATAGAGAGAGTAGAATGCCTCGGGGAGGTCTTTGTGTTAGTAAGTTCCTTATTAGCAGGGGGAAGCCTGTTTATGCCGAATTAGGAGGATGGCGCCTAGATTCTCTTATTTGAAGGTGAGAAGCCTGTAGTTGCCTGTCGTGTAGGTCTTGTGGCTTTGCCCGACTAGCAGGTCTTATTTGGCCTTTGCCCGACTAGCAGGTCTTTACGGGTTGTGCCCGACTAGCAGGTCTTATTTAAACCCAGTGCCTGACTAGCAGGTCTTTGTGGGTCGTACCCGACTGGCAGGTCTTATTTAAACCCGGTGCCCGACTAGCAGGTCTTTCGTTGATATACAATTTCGCTCAAAAGAAGCAATATAATAATATGTTTATTGAAGATAAGTCAAAGCTTAATAGTAAAAGATCCTTAACAATATTCTAAATCAAAGCATCGATGTGCTAATTTATTAAACAAAATATGAAAGCAAGAGGCATACTTGTTGGATGGAACCTCGAGGAGTCCTTATGGTATCTTGTGTGAAACGTGAGGCTCACCTGGAATTTCTCTCGAGGGGTTGTCTTGATTAGTCACATATTCTCGGAATTTTCCTTTCTCAAGCCCTTCCTCGATTTGCTCATTTAATTCGTGGCAATTCTTGGTATCGTGCCCATGATCTTTATGGAAAGAACACCATAAGTGTTTCGGGCGCTTACTTGGATCGGTTGACATGGGACGTGGTACTTTGAACTCATGCTTATGGACCTCTAGGATTTCAGCTCGAGGACGAGTAAAAGGCGTATAAGCATCTGCCTTTCGCTTTGCTCGGTCATGGCCTCTTTCTCGATCGCGATTGTGTTCTCAATCTCGATTGCGGTCTAGTTCTTGGTCACGATCTGCCCCTAGGCCTTTAGCTTTGTACTCGAGCGACCTCTTCTCATAAGGGTATAAGCTTTCTCGTGCTTGACGTAAATCTTCTTCTGCGCGAACTTCAGTTTCGACCACCGAGAAGAGTTGTTGCAACGTTTGTGGCGGCTCTTTTGTCAGCTTTTGTCGCAAAGTAGCAGATTGCCCATGTGGATAAAGACCATTAGTGAAGGTTGCAACAATCGTCTCTTCAGAGATTCCTTTGACTTGAAGTTGTTCTTTGGTGAAGCGGCTATAATAAGCCCCAATAGATTCGTCTCGATCTTGCTTGAGGGACATTAGCTCGGTAATCGTCTTACGAATCTTCTTTCCTTGGAAGAACCTTGTGTGAAACAAAGTTCCCAGCTCATGAAACGTCCGTATACTTCCCGGAGACAAGGTTCCGAACCAGAGTTGTGCTTGACCCGTGAGATAGGTTGGGAACACCTTGCACATGAAATCATTGGAGGCATTCCTCAACCTCATAACACTCTTATAGACTTGCAAGAACACCATGGGGTCGATATCTCCTCCATAAAGCTTCAAATCTGGAAGTTCGAACTTCTCGGGCATGGGCGTTTCTCGGATACGTTGGATGAATGGACTATCGTCTCCCTCCTCGTCTCCTTCAGATCCAAGAACCTTGCGTAATTGCTCCTCGATGGTTGAAGGTACTCGAGGTGGAGGTACGTTCACTCGAGGGGGACGAATTTCTTCTCGAGTTACAAGGTGATGTCCTCGAGAGATGCCCCTAGGGTTTGGCTCGCCCTCTTTTGAGAAGGTACCCAGATTGTCAACCACGAGTTGTCGCTGGTTACTGTCGAGTTCATGAAAACTCTTCATAAATTCTTGGAACTTGTTGAACAGGGTAGGTTGAGATTTGAAAAAAGCCTCCATGAGGTTTTGATCCAGCGAATCACCAGACGGCCCGCTAGGGGATGGTCACGTTGGAGTAGCCTGTTTATCTTTTTCAGCTGCAGTAGCAGGTGTTTGTTGTTTTTCTTGCGCCATGAGGCTGGTGACATTGTGCAGCGTAAAACACCAAAAAAATTCCAACTTCGCTTCAAGAAATTAATTTGGTTGTGAAGACCAAACAAATCGGTCCCACTGGGCGTGCCACTTGACGATGCGTGGATTTGTACGGTGCTTAGGACGGGCGGCGATGATGACCTAGGCGGCGGCGAATGGCCTAAAACCTGCAAGACAGAGCCTCGGGTGTCTCCCGAGGATAGACTCTCCAATGACTAAGTCAATAAGGGAATAGAGATAATAGAGAGAGAGTGATGTGTATCGTGTGTAAAAGGTGTAGAAGATAGGTAGAAGATATATCTTATGGGAGAGGCACCACCTCTTTATATAGAGGTGGTGTTACCTGTTTCCTGAAATCTAGTTGTATTAGGTTTAGGCGGTAACTTAACCTCCAAGATAGCCGGCCCAAACCATTAGGGTTAGGGTTAATTTTATGACTCGTCAATGGTTAATTAAAGAGTTTAATATATTGCCGAATTCTTTTTCTTTTACAAGTTGGATGACAATATCATAGCCATTAACACTTTGAATGGAAGTGGGATTTGGGTTTTTTTGTTTTTTTCTTTTGTTGTAAATCAGAATCCAATTACACTTAGGAGTCAAGAATTTTTTTAATAATGTTTTTAACTAACCTCAAAGACGTTCGTGTTTGTGTGGGAAATTTACTGTTGAAATCTTGAAACCTTGAAAGTGTACACGCATGTCTGGATATCGATTTACCTCGTGATTCAGTTTAAAATTGCTTTTCCAATTTTCAATATATATATATATTTGGCTTTAAGATAATACTTCCTCCGGTCTTTATTATAAGGCATTTTAACTTCTCTTAGGTTTCACCTAGTACACATTTTAAATTGACAAAAAAACCTTAAAAATATATTTTCACATTCTTTGTGTTCTCTTGATTGTTATGATATATTTTTAAGGTTTTTTCGTCGATTAAAAATGTATACTAAGTTAAACTTAGGATAAATCAAAATGTCTTATATTAAGGACCCAAGGGAGTAGTGTTGTTCTATATTTTCTATACTACTTACGATGTTTTAACCGACGTCAATTTTTGCATCAGGTTGTGAAGCTAAAACTAAAAGGGTGTGAACTTTCCGATCCCTTAATGATACCGGGTTCAAGTTGTAGGGATTTTATGCACATGTAAGGATGACAACAATTAGTTCTTATTTGGAACTCATTCTGTCCCAATAATGATTAGAACAGGACAATAACACAAGCATTTTAGAAATGTCGAAAGGGGAGGATGAGATTTGTGGTGTCCATGTTGGCGTGATATAGGCGATCCATGAGCTTTTGGAGCCAGATTGGATTGTGAAGCTTGATCTATCAGAAAACTAATTTTGTTGTTAATTATTTATCATAGTTGGCATAGATATGGGTTTATATAAATTAGAATTACCGTCATCCAGAAGTTACACCATGATTATAACATAACCGGGTTTGAATATCTTAGATATTCGCAAATTTTGGCGTTAGTCTCTCTTATTGTAACAAAAGAGTAGGACAATTAGTTTTTAAATAGAAAGAATATTTAAATAGAAAAACTTCCGAATATAATTGAAGTTGAAGTCGAGCATTGTAGAATATAATTGAAGTCTGCAATGGATCCATTGATTAGCGAGCTAGCATTTTAGAATATAGGTGAATTATGGAAAACAGAAGACGATATCATTGTAGAATCAAACTAAAAATGCTGGCACAACTGTCTATCAAAAGATGGTACTAATATGATGTTAAAATTGCACATATTGGAGACGCAATAATATTGTGTGCAAATAAGCAGCACGAAAGAAATTGTCCTCAATAAATGTAAACGTTTTTATCGTAACCAAAGATACACAGATCAGGCTTCTTCCAGCCAGGAATATGCTAAATCATAATATGTTACCCACACTATTATTTTGGTAAAGAATTGGGAATCTTGCTATACAGTAAACTTCCAGGGCAGAAGCAGATCAATTTACCAAAAGTGACAAAATCCTAGATGCCATTGATAGTATGGTAACTTAATTTACTTTTCTCCATTAGCTTTCTTTGCAACGGAAGTTACTTCTCCACGGATGCGCTTCTGCAGATGCTCCAAGCTAGCCACTCGCTGCATTGAAGATGTTCTTCCCATCTTGTTTGCTGCTGCTGCTGCGGTTGGATTATGGTGCGCATTGTTATCAGCTGAAGGAATTTCCAGCATTCCGTTTTGGACCCTTGGATCATGACTCGGTATACGATTTGTTGAGGGGGCTTGATAATAATGATTTGGATCATCTTGCACAGGTACGGCAGCATCAGCCGCATCTGAAGGACTAGCAGCAAAAGATGGCAAACCAATGGTAGACATCTCAGACATTGCTTGGAACAACGGGCTCAATCCAGTGACTCGTTTAACAGTCTCTTCAGCCATTTTCACCTTTAAAGATAAAGAACAGCTGGATTAGGAAGCCTAAATTTTACACATCTCAGATTTGACTATTGAGAAACAACAACCATCCTAGTTGGCTTTCAAAATCCAACCCTCAATGACAAAAGAAGGAAAAAGGTGAATGCAATTGTCACCCAAAAAATGCTGGCAGAATGAATCCAAAGATGTTGAACACACCTTTGCTCTCAGTGTTTCAACATCAGCTTTCAGAACTCTATTATCAACAGCTGCTTCATTATACTTTGTGCTTACATCGGTAAGGCGCTTTAGCAGAGAAGAGTTCTCCACTCTCAATTGAGAGACCTGGAAAGAAAAGCAATCTTATTAACTGCAAACACCTAGAATTATGATGGAGGATTCCAAAAAGCCAGGGAAGAAACCTGCCTGAGTCTCAAGCTCAGTCAAATGGGCTTGCTTTCTTCTTCTTGAGCGTCTAGCAGATTCTCTATTCGAAAGCATTCTGACAAACAATCATTTAATTAATGAAGGAAAATAAAGAGTGAAACAGTATAAGATTTTTGTCTGTGGCATGACAATCAAAAGCCATATTTCCATGAATGCGGACAGGAATAGAGTAATGGCACTAAGAAAAGCGAATCAATCATTGCATCTACATAGCAAAAGTAAGATGCCTGTATGAAGCTTTGATAGTGGAGACCACAAATAGTTCGGATCGCTCCAATTTGTTCTCCTTCAAAGAACTTCATTTTGCTGAGGCAGAATAGAGCAATATATTGTTTTAGCAATTGAAGCTATGTTAGGAAGCAACACAATGATAAACAGAGCACAGACAAACAAAGGTTCCTTCTACGCATACAGAGAAGAATTGTATCACAATGAACACCATAAGATCCCCACATTAAGGTCAATATTGAGATATCAAGATGTTGGTACAATGGTAAAGATCTAAAGGAAAAAGCAAAAGACTCCTGAGTTTTTTGACCTTGAGGTCTCATCTCTTTCATTATACCATTCAAGCTACAAAGCCTCAAAACTATACTTCTGACTCTGACCCAAAGTGGGTTCCAATCAATAAAAAGCTAAACATTAAAAAGTAGGGGGGGAAAAAGTCCAAGACAGCTGTATGAAGGAAAGAACGACTTAGCTACATCAAAGTAATTTATTTTTTGTAGTGAATTGAGGTACTACTATCAGTCAATCTTACACTTATTGAATGTTTTTTTTCCAGGATTTGCCAAAAACCCTAGTCTTTAATCAGGGATCAAAACTAATTTCCTCCTCTTCACACTTTCACTCACCTCACTAGTTTTCTGCCCCAATAAGAACAAGCAAGGTCTGTCCATTTGATGGATTGATTGCAAATTACTCAATGGAGCTAAGACTACTACAACATTCTTAAAATCTTGACATTGAGCTTTAAACCACACAAGTGTTAAAGTCGGAGAACAGCTATTTTAATAAAAAAGAAAAGCACATCATAAATACTTCTAAACAAATTGGATATGGAAACTCTTAGCATGCTTCTTTTAGATGGTGCAAGTATCTTGCGTATGCAAATTCTAGGACACAATTAAATCACATAAATTCTCTCATAGTAGAAATTAAATTGACATTGTTCTTATTCAGATATTTTCCCATAATCCGGAGAAAGTAAACGTACGAGATAATTGAAAACATAAAATAAGTTGGGTTACTACGACCTTTATTTTCTCATCAAAGGAGGACCAACAGTTACTACATGAGAGAATAGGTGTAAAGTGCTTGAAACTAGACCGAAATATGCAAGAGGCAATGTAAAAGTGAAATGACAACACCAGCAGTCAACAAGCACTCACTCATACAAATTCCAAGTAAGATTTCTTCAGGACTCCAGAAACAAATAAAACTCGAAAAAATACTACTTATACCACACACTCATTACAAGAACTTATGTTAACATGTCATAAAAGTACAATATCTGGCAGCAATACCTTCTCATACGTTTAGCATCAGCAGGGTCCAAATTTTGAGTTCCTTCTGTTTCTTCTTCAGCATCATCTTCATCTGACTCTTCTCTTGAAGAACCACTAGTAGTTGATCTGACTGGGATGCTAGGTTTCTTTGCTACTCCAGGCAAAGAAGGTATTCCAAGTGGGCCCCCAACTTCCTTATCTTGCTGTTTGGGAGGAGGATCAGGCCCAGCTCCTACAATAATAACAGGAGCCAAAAAGAGAGAGCATGAAAGATTAATAACCTGGCATCTCAAAACAACTCTTTTTACAAAAGATCTTTTAACAGGCTTCTTTTGTAAAGGGAAAACACACACAATAACAAGATTGTTAAGCCACCAAAGACAAAACCCATAGATTATGTCAGCAGAGTGTGAAGCGGTAACCAAAAAAAAAAAGTGTACAAGATACATTTTTCAGTTGACCCAGTAAATATACATTTACAAGTTCTTTGAGACCAAGAAAGAAAAATGAACATACATATAACAACGAATGATGTACATGAACAAATATATAAGGTCAGGGCTGAATTGGTCTGGATGAAGTTTTTATTTCTGAAACTTCTCTAGTTTCGGCCTCTTTCTGTTTGTCTTTCTCATATATTTCTCAGAGCTGAAATTCAACATCTTTGTATACTTCTTGAATTTTATCCATGAATTTAACAATACAACGATCAATGTTTCTCTCCTAAACAAAGGAAGAGGTAGCCCAAACATAAATTCAACTAACCATGGAAAAATATTATTATTCATAACGAAGACCTTCTCTTTTATGTCTCCAAAATGCACGAATACACATTCCACATGAAGAAACATTTTTTTAAAAAAAAAGTACGGCAGAGCAGGAAGAATCCCTGGAACCTACGTAAGTAACTATTACTGACCTCCATTTTTTATCAACCAAAAAGGAGCATCATTCAATCCTTCAACTTGATTTATACATTTAGCAATATTCTCCTACATATATCATCCTTCTCTTGACAGAATAAAACATGATAAGAGAATAAAAAAAGCCAAAAGACACCCAAGTAACTACTGCTACTTTTTAATTTTTGAAACATACTAATATGGAATCACCTTTGTAATCATGCCCCTTTGCTGAAACCTATTCAACCAGACACCCACTCTCCAATACCACCGGCCCCAAACCCAAAAGAGAGAGAGAGAGAGAGAGAGAGAGAGAGAGAAAACAAAGCAGCACAGAAAGAAATCGGGAACTTTTGCATAAGCCAAATTCACTAAAACCCGGCTCAACTTTTAACCACAATGTTGTGTTTTAGTAAATGAGAACATACAAAATCACTACAGAACATATAGTTAGCTTGTAAGGTATGAGAGGAAAATAGCTCACTTATGTGTTATACCTTGCATAACATAAACAATTGCCCATTATGACAAGATCCCTTTTTCTTTTTTTAGGTAAAATCTCCTTGTTACGATAAGATCCTTTTCTTAGGACCAAGGGACGATCAGATTTTGAGGACAGAAAATATTTCAAAAAAACACCATTCAATTTATTCCTACAGAAAATATTACAACACACGTATACTGAAGAACAGAGAAGCTCTCCTGTTCACCCACACCAAACATATACACATAACTCTCATCTCAAACCCACCTATAATCTGGACATATGAACAGAAGCAAACAGTATATTCGTAAAGGCAGAAGCTTAATTGCAGCAACTCTAACCTTTAGAAACAACTTGAGATCCAGACTGCGGTGTGTTTGATTCCAGTGATCCATTCTCAGGCCGCACCTTAGGTTTTACATGGTTAGCCTAACGAGACATTGTATAATACGAATAAGATTTCATAACATGAATCAATTAAAGAATTTCAAATATAAAAACAAAATAAGGTAAAGCACAGTTTAAATTAAGAACTACTACACAAAATGAAGCTCGAGCATAAAATAAAATCTCACAAATAAAAGATCCGCCAGACCTCAAAAAGTGGGACATACTAATTCAAAGAGCGTTTCGTTTTACTTCTTTTTAGTTTCTCCCCTTTCCTTTAATTTAATTTAATGATTCGATATCTTTTACTAGCCTTATTGGGACAAATAAATCTCTCCTACGCACGTGACATACCCCTATACCTATCTTGATTCTCTCATCCTCTCACTTATTAACTAAGGGTACCTCCACGTTGTCTCCGATGCATTCATTACTGTTGCTGTCGGAAGTTCCAAAGTAAGGACAACAGCTTCGATCCATGACCAAAGCCTAGGGTTTTGATACTTTATGATTAATCAAACGCTAAAACTTGGAAAATTTTTTGTTCCAATACCTATTTATAAAAGAAATCTTACAGCTTTTCTTTTCTAATCTCCATAGGGTATTTACTAAGGAAAATAGTATGAATGGAATCTCTTAAGATACGTTATACTAAAACATCAATATTTTCTGCCCCATTACCTAGTTTTAGAAGAAATTTTACAGCTTTTGTTTCCTTTTCTCAACAAGGTATTTGCTCATAAATAATTAATAGCCGTCAAACATTCCAAAAATACAAAAGCTTTCCCTATAACAGTATTCTCTAACGAAAAAATATGCCTAAAATTCAAACTTATGTTCTGCCCAGTATCCAATGTAATTAATGTCCTCAATCAACTAATAGTACTTGCAAATCCTATCTAATATTAGCATCTTCAAATCACAATTAAATTTCAATAAAGCCAAAGAAATGAGAGTAAATCGATCACCACATCCAATGAGAATAAGCATCAACTGCTATGGCAGCGAAACAACTTGGAATCAAAGACCACCGAACCCCAGAAAAGATTCTTACTTCGCAGTTCATATTTAAAAAAAATACAAGATTATAAACATATCAGTCCCAATGCTTAAAAATAGCTCAAAACAAGGAAAAGAACGAAAAAATCTCGATTAAAAGTATTATGCAATCCTTATCCAATCAATGTTACTGGTTTCTCTTCGTATCGCATATTAGCTCTTCTTTTTTGTTCTTTTGGCCAAGATGTCATATCAAATTTATCCACAAATACAGTAAAATGGTACTTTCGGAAAAAAAGAGCAAACCAATAGGAATGATACCCTGGTCAAAGCAAAGGCGGCGCACGCTAAATCCAGCTGGCTTTTAAGGAAAGCCTGATACTCCTCAGAATCCACCGGGATATTCGGCTGCGGCGGAGGAACACCACCGCCACCGCCGCCGCCGCCGCCACCAAAAGACTTCGTCCCCACCTGCCTTTCTAAATTATTACTGTCACCGCCACCCTTGCTATTATCATTTTCTACACTTTTAGCATCGCGAGATGTTTGATCTTTGATCTCAACGACATCTTTCTTAACGGTTACAAGATTATTAGCAGAGCTCGCCGGAGGAGCTGGCGGCGATGAGGAATGATTGGATGCGGAGGCTTCTTGGAGGAAACGCTGGAACGCCCACTCGGATGAGCTGCGGTTCATCATTTTCAAGGACGAAGATGACGTGGACGACGCCGACTCGTTGTCATCGTCGGTGAGCCGGATCGGCGGCGGAGGCGGTGACCAGAATTGGTCCGCAATATCGTCCACCGAAAACACCCTATCCATCCCGGTCTTATTTTCTCTCTCCTCCTTCTTCTTTTCTCTCTCTCTCTCTTTCTCTCTCCGACTCTCTTTTTCTTCTTTTATCAATTTGCAGTCCTTTCTTTTTGACAAAATTAAAAGAAATTCAAGAAAAGAAAAGTTGTAACTAGTCTTTAAAACTTTTATTAAAAAAAAAAAAATTTAAGGGAAAATAAAGATTATTCAATCTGGAAAAAAAGGGGGGAAAGGATTTTTTTAATGATTGGGGTAATGAATTTTGGATAATTTTACGTGTGGTGGGGTACCAAATATCTATTTTTTTTCTCTTTTTTGTATGGCAAAGAGGGAGCACAATTTTGACATGTTTTACCGAAAAACATTATGTCTAATCAATGGAAGCAATAAATATAGGATACAGTTACTAATTAGTAATTACATTCATTGTGAGTAAAGGGAGAAAAAGATATCTTTGAGAAATTGATTTTTTTTCGTGTTTGTTTAGTGTTTGAAACAAATTTCAAAGAAACAATATAAATTAAATTTCCAGAAAAATAGAGCGAACACTTATAATGAATTATTGGTTAGAAAAAGAATAAGGAAGGAGAGTGAACATTTGGATCAGCAATTATTGAAAGATTCCCTGATAACATTTTAGAAATCATTGAATCGGTACCTTTGAATTTGAGTCCCAGACGATATCCTCAAATTGAAAAATAAATAATTTTGAACTTAAACACGTTTCATATTAAAGATAACCATCAATAATAGTTAAGGGAGGATAACTTTAGTGATTATTTTATTAAAAATTATCTAGAGTGAGATTTGATTTAGTCATTATCAAGAGTAGTTTAATTTAATAATTATCAAGAGTAATTTTATCAAATAATGTAGACATGCCTATAAATATGGCATCTGCCTTTAGTTTTAAGTCAATCAATCTCAATGTAATCTTCAGATATTATTCCAGTTCAATTTCTTTATTTCTTTTATTTTCTTCAATTTCTTATTTTTTTTCTTGGTATCAGAGCAGATTTCGCCCTGTTTCTGTGTCATGCTTCTGCTTGTTTTTTCTTTCAAGAAATAAATCATGATTAGTTCAATCACGAAGTCACGTTTTTTCTTTCAAGAAATAAATCATGATTAGTTCAATCACGAAGTCACGAATATTAGCAATTGTGTCATGTTTCAATTTCAAATTCATCCCAAATCACTTCTCTTCTACTGCTAATTCTAAACTCCTGTTTGATTCTCCCAACAATGTCCACAATACCTATTGAATCACAAATCAATCCCATTGAACCACAATTTTTTTTTCTTTTTTTTTTCTTTCCACAAATCAACTTTAGTTGATCCATAGATTTTAAACAACGAGGAAAGTCACCTTTGAGTCAATTCACAAAATATTTTTTCCCACAAATTTCAGACAACGAGGATAGTCTCATATAACAATCTAACAATCCCTAAAAATTTTCATTATCCGTTATGGCAAACATCTGATATTCTCATAAAAGAAGAGTTTTGACTTGTCATACCAGAATCTAACAATCCACAAAAAATTTTCATTATGGCAAACGTCCGATCTTCTCTCAAAAAAAGTTTTTTGACTTGTCATACAACAATTTTACAATGAATTTCCAGCAATTTTTTCAATACATGGTCAGAAACACTCAAGATTTGATACTGGTCCACAAAAAGATTTTTCACCGCTAATTGTTCGTAAAACTGAGAAGCCGTCAGCACAGTAGAAGCAAATTGAGTCTCTAATTCAGTAGAAGCAAATTGAGTTTCTAATTCTGACTTAGTTTGAGTGAGGATGTTAAAAATAACCATCAATAGTAGTTGAGGGAGAATCACTTTGATGATGATTTTATTGAAGAATTATCTAGAGTGAGATTTGATTTAGTCATTATTAAAAGTAGTTTGATTTAGTAATTATCAAGAGTAATTTTATCAAATAATATAGACATGCCTATAAATAAGGCATCTGCCTTTACTTTGTAAGTCAATCAATCTCAATGTAGTTTTCAGATATTATTGCAGTTCAGTTTTTTTATTTATTTTATTTTCTTCAATTTCTCATTTTTTTCTAAACATAGCCTTAATTTAAATGAGACAAAGTTAATTAATTAGACAACCCAAAAAGTAAAAGTGAATACAGAAACATTGTTAGAGAGTGCTAAATCAGTACACTTCTAAAAATTAAATCAATATATATCAAGGAGAACAATGCAATAAAACCAATTTCCGAATCAGTAATTTTGGTCTTATACCCGCGAATCGTTATCTAGGAGAGTCCAAACTAATTTAATAAGTCAAGGATTTACGTACGAGACATGAACATCAGGTTATACCAAAAAAAAAAAAAGATGTAGTCAGTTTATGGTGTTTTCTCGAAAAGAGTCCGTTTATAGTGTGCTTTAGCACTAGTGCATACCAAATGACAGTAAATTAGTTCTGTTCAAAAAACAATGATAGTAAATTAGTAATGAATAATTATCCCCTCAAAAAAACAAAAATTATCCATATTATTAGATGTCATTTTAAATTGTAAAATACCAAAAATTATCCATATTATTAGATATCATTTTAAATTGTAAAATTCCATAGTTTTAAGCCGCATCCTTCAATCAGATAAAACAACTCATGTATTTCCTCCACTCCAAAACTATTGTCTAGATCAGATTTTTTTACTTTTAGTTTAATTTGTAATAAAAATGAACATCAAACAATATTTTCGGGATGGAAGGAGTACAAGTAAAATCTTACTTCTTTTTCTATGGCCAAAAAAAAAATAATAATAAAAACAAAAGAAGAAAAATTATACTGTAGTAATATTTTAATTCAAATAAACAAGGTAATTCTTCTGTTATGAAATAAGTGTAGTTGAAAGAATTTTTTTTAAAAAAATGAAAACAACTTTCCTTCTCCATTATCAATGCAAATTTTATCCAAACTTTTCAAAAATTTATCCTCAAAAATAGATTGTATATCTGACATGGGTTTGCATAAGGTAATTTTGTAAAATATAATACTGGTAGTTTAAGTATATTTTTAAATTGCATAAAAATTGTTTAATTCTACTTATTTTCGAACCAAGATAATTACATATAATGAAGAAAAAAGACATTTTATTTGTTAAAACTTTAATGCTCCTTTTGCCCTAAAATAAAATGTTCATATTGAGTTTTCAAACTTTATTTATAATGAGTATAAATCTCAAGATTCAATGTAGATGGTTTTTTTATTTTATTTTTTTTTGTTTGACAGAGGTAGTACTATTATTTTCTAATATTCCAGTAGTAGTATCATTTACTCATTTAGATCTCTTGAAGCAAAGGTGAGCCTTTTACGCAACTTTGCGATGGCGGCGGATATTCGAATTAATGAAAATCGTGGCATTTGATTGGGCGAGGAGGCTGCATCGAGCCGTCGACGAGCGGCTGCCCCAATTGTGGATAGATATAAAACTTTGGACCACCAATTTCTTCATTCGTTAATCAACCTTTTGGCAGTAGGACCCAGCCCTCATTCGCTTTTGCAATTTAAAGACTTTTGGGTGGCACGAATTTTAGATTTGTCCCATTTTGTAACTCTTAACCAGTAAACTTTTATATAAGATTTAACTTTCAAAACAAAAAAAAAAAGGAATTTTAGATTTGTTTGTTTGTGATTGTGGCTAATTCTTATTAATGCAAAGTGTCTTTTTCAATGGATTTATAATCATTTTCTCTATGTCACTTTATGAGTGTTTTTATACTCATGCTGTTCCGAAATAATTATTAAATTTTGATATTAATTTTCAGTATAAATTTTATTAAAAATTAAAATTTTAAATTAAACAATCATTTTGGATGAAAATAACATAAAATAAGAGGCATAGATGGTTTTATTATTATTTTTTACTTTAATTTGCTAGACAATCTGATGCAAATTCATTTTATTAGTGTGTTTCATCTCTACCTTACCTTGATGTGCTCTTACTTTTATGTCCACTTGGTCCAAAGACACGAAATGTGACAAAGAAAAGATGGATGATGCAATTTGTCTGTTTGTCGAAAACTTTGCCTTTCCATGTACACTTGCAAGTTGTAGGTATAAAATTGGCCCAACTTTAATGACTAATATTTGTTCTTTTATTACTGATATGATTTTCTTCAAGTATATCTGTTGTATGCGCACTATACACGTCAGCTGCAGGATGACTTTTTTATTTTATTTTATTTTTAAATCAACATGATGAATGATAGAATAAATTGCAAAATGCACCCTTTAATTATTTGTGGCTTGATCCTGAGTGTGATTTGGACATTCATTATTGTAGTATCATGTGTGACATTGCCTGCTGACCACTGCTTTCTGTAAAATGGTAAGAATCTTTGTAGGTGCAACATAAATTAACTAACATCATTTCCTGATGGGAAGGCTCTCTTACCCTTGACGAACACTCTTGTTGAAGTTGTGAATTATATTAAAAAGGAATACATGAAATCAGATCGAGAGTATTACTAGATGTTATATTAATTAGGGAGTACATTCATTATTTTAATTCATATTGTAGGTTAAATGGACAAATTAATTAGGTATAATTAATTTAATTGATTTTATTTTAATTTCTATTTGAATAATTATTGTAATGAAATATTTATATATAATATTTAATATAGGTTAAAAGGATAAATTAATTAGGTATAATTTATTTAATTCAATTTATTTTAATTTTTATTTTAATTATTATAGTGTAGTAGTTATATATATTCATTAATGTAGGTTCAGAGGAGAAAAAAGAAAAGGCCAGGTATACCTGATTCTTCATTGTTGCTTGAGTCGGGTACACGAAATATGTATGGTCGAGTTATTTCTGCCTCATATCGTCGTGGAAGTCCAACTGGACATAAGTCAAAGGGTGAGTCACAGATGGGTCAGGCCGGTAGTAGTGTGGGACTTGACGATGTATTTAATCATGCCAGGTTGGACTTACAGAATGTGAGAGACAATGATGATGTCCCGACTGAAGATATCGACTCGGAAGGGTTTAATGATTTCGGAGGTGACTCACCTCCACATTCACCTCCACATTCACCTCCAGCTAGACGAAGCAATGTTATTCGTCTTAGGATTAGAGGACTTGGAGCTGCATCTGCATCAGCATCTGCATCTGCAACTGCATATGCATCTGCATCATCATCAGCAGGTAAGAAATTAGTGTTTGGGGTTTATATTTTACATTTAGTAGTTAAGTTTTTTCAAATATTTTATCGGAAAAAAATTTAATGATTTGTTTACGTTAATTTCAGTGAGTAATGCTCAGCCTTGGGTTGTCACTAGACCAGTTGTTGGTGGCCCTCATGACGGTTCTGTTATTCCCAGTTTTCTTGGTCATGTGGCCCATCGCTTGACAGATAAGTCGTATAAACCCTCCTTGGAGATGGATACAAGAGTCACATACTTCAAGTTGTTGAAAGAATGGAAGTGTTCTATGCCGACTGAGGCTCAAATCTTATTGGCTGGTACAGGGCTATCCCACATCGTGGACATCATGCACACCAACATTGATAAGGCATTGATTACAGCATTTGTAAAGAGGTGACAGCCGGACACCAACACATTTCACATGCCTTTTGGGGAGATGACCATCATGTTACACGATACGCGACATATATTGGATATTTCCGTTGAAGGTAGATTGATTATAGCACAACCTGAGACTGCCGATCGTAAGACTTTGGTCATGAGGGCGCTGAGAATGACTAGCTAGATGCTACAAACTAGTAAAGTAATCCACGATGGAGGGGTTCAGTCGAGCCTTGTTGCAAAAACAGGCCAAGCGGCAACGCTTGCTTAAGATCAAGTGACCGCTTGGTTATGGGTCATGTTAGGGAACATGTTGTTTACTGACAGGAGTGGGACTCGGATTACAGCGACGATTCTCTCCGAGTTTATTGATAGCCTAGTCACCTGTGACAATATTTATTGGGGGTCTGCTACTCTAGCCTATCTCTACCGTCAGCTAGGCGTGTCCACCAGATTGAAAAATGTCTCAATGTCTGGTTGCTACACACTACTTCAGGCGTGGATATATGTGTACTTTCCATGTTTCAGACCACCTCGGGGCGGTCCCTTTGAGGCTTCTGACCAACCCTGAGGTGGATGGTGGAATTTCTCAAATCCTGATAACAGTCCAGATCGTCTCATGCACCTTCGCAGCCAGATCGACAAGCTGACACCTGATCAAGTACGTCACTTTTCGCACTTTTAGTTAATAATAGTTATGCAAAATAATGTTATTAACGTATCTTATATCTTGTGTGTAGGTTGAATGGTTGCCTTACGGCCCCGATCCTGTTTCCGATGATCCAAGGACCATATGCAGTGGCTGGATACAGTACCGACATATTATTGAGCCATACTTGCCTAGTCAAGTATTGCGCCAGATTGGATACATCCAGGTCATCCCTCCACCCATTCCTCATCCCCTGAGTGCAAATCGTAGTGGTAATCACCACACCTACAAGGTTTCATGGAGGCCCACTGAGGCGTTTGATGTTTGGATGCAATTCCCATTCAGTACTTGGCTGGATCTAGAGTATTTTGAGCGGAGTGATCATGATAAGACTGCATGCACTCCTAATTACCTCCAATTGTACTTGAAATATTCGCATCCTTTCTTGGTTTTAGATCCTACTACTATAGGTGGAGTTAGGACCACATCTCGCGTAAGTCTTTATTGCATAACCATTTCTTGAAATGTTTATACAATATATTATTAATTTTGTAATTTTTTTAATTTAATTTTATTTTTTTGCAGTGGGTCAACCGATTGTCCGAAATTCATAGAAACGCACTTGAGACAATCCGCAAAATTGATGCAGAGAGAGTAAAGGAGCATGAGGTATTTTGCTCAATTTCAGGATGAATTCCGATTGAGCTAGAGAGATTGATGTGTATTTTATTAAGATGTTATGTGTTACTTCTTGGATTTCTTCCCCATTTCAGAATGTTATGTTATGTGTTACTTCTTGGATTTATTCCCAATTTCAGAATGTTATGTTATGTGTTACTTCTTAGATTTCTTCCCAATGATATGTATTTTATTAGGATGTTTTGTGTTACTTTTTGGATTTCTTCCCCATTTCAGAATGTTATGTTATATGTTACTTCTTGGATTTCTTCTCAATTTTAGAATGTTATGTGTTACTTCTTAGATTTCTTCCCAATTTCAGAATGTTATGTTATGTGTTTTAATTTGCAATGGAACATATGAAATTTAAATAACTAGTTTGAACAATTTAAATAAATGTTATGCAACTACTAACTAGATCTAGATAGTTTATTCCACTCTGCTATCATAGAGTGGTACTCATCTTCCCAGCCTACAACATTGTTGTCACGCCACCTAAACCAATAAGGATGTATAGGAGATACATGAATATCACTACCGAAATCAACACAAATGTAATGATCTACACAGCCGAGGTGAACAAGCACAATCTCACGAGTTGGTCTTCTGGCGTCTCCACGATCAGTAAGGCGCAACACTGTCAAACAATAAAAACCTAGATCCCCGTCTAATGTATTCCCGAGACCGTACAGAAAAACTGCAGCAGTCCAGATAGTAGCAATCGCGTATAAGTCTTGTGTGCATTTCATATAATGGGGCGGAAGGCATCCACCTACCAGCCACATTAACCGTCGTATGTTTTGTTCCCTGTTATAGTAATACGAAGGATCATATAAATCCGGCCATTTAATAAGATCTTGAATAATGGTTGTTCGGACCAACGGCCAATCCTCTTCTGAATTTCGAACATACTCTGCCACACATTGAACCCACAGTTCCCATCTCCCCTCACATCAAGGTACCCCAAACGAAGGGAACCATAAAAGACGGAATACATTGTCGATACTGATATAAATGAAAATCCGTCCTCCAACCTCTTTGCTCACCTAAAAAAAATAATATTTACGTTATGTACATTGCCGAAACAAAATGTTTAAAAATAAAATATGACAACGAAAAAAAAAATTCAAAACATTCTTACGAGTATAATCGTATGTAGGCGAGTATGTGCTCATACGCGATCTCCCCGAACCAATAGTATACTTCTCCCAATAACACCGTTTCCGCGGGATATTCGCTTTCGGGTGCCCTTTAACACTTGTCTTCACTGCAGGTTCCTCGAAACTCATCTGATCATGGTGTTGCTCTTCTTCCTCGAAACTCATCTGCTCATGGTGTTCCTCTTCTTCCAGCTCATGGTGCAGAAACTCATTGACGCGGCTAAAAAAGGCCTCTTGTTGAATGCCTCAAGGGAAACATCTGTAAAAATCGTATACTCTTCTGACACAAAAAGTTGAGCATCATCACTTGGGGCCGAATCAGGTGTCGCACTTGTAAAATTAAGTCTGCTCCAAAAAGGGTGGAGGTCGGCAACTATAATGGGCACCTGCAACTCTCTTTTGTGTTTAAGCTCACATGCACAGGGGATTTTTGGGTCGTTCTCAACACATACCCACAAACATCCTCCTCACCCAATTGCTGCATGCTAATATACTCACTTTGAAAAATGTCCAAGTAGTAATGTGAGACACGTCTAACTAGACGGTCATAGGGAAACTGAAGGTGCTCTCTCCTTGAACGGCATTCTGATTCGGTTAGACGGAACCTATATTTTAAATTCCTCACTGTTAATATAAGAACATTAGTAATTAAGTATTAAAAACAAAATTAAACAATGAACGAACTACGTACTTGATCTCAGTTAACTGATACTCGATCGCTGCGTGGATTCCGGTCCATATTGTAATTAGGTGACTGGTTGCCGAGTCAAGAAACCTCTTCATGGAACTATGGGCGCTCTCCACCCTATAATTACTTGTGTTTCCAAGATGTGTGACCCCATTTGTCCATGCACGAGCCCACTTCTCCTTGTGAACTAGCCAAGTGGTCTTCACATAATGCAACAACTCTCCATAACTTTTTGTTGGGTGCCTGTAGTACGACATATTAATCACAGCCATTTCATGAAGGTACTCAGTAGGAGCTTCAAGTATCGGATCAAACATTCTCCTTCTTCTACTAGTTCGCGAATTTCTTTCCAAAATGCCGCTGTGCGTTTTCAAAAACACATTTGTTGATGTGCCACACGCACAGAAGATTTGAAGAATCTGAAAATATCAAACTGATTGGTTCTGCCAGCCCTAACTCCCTATCTGTCACTATGGCATACGGGTGCACCTCCCATCCAATCATATCCTGAAGCTGCTGACATGCCCAAGTATAACTCTCCTTCTTCTCATCCTTCATAATTACGTATCCAATCATAAAATTCTTGTTGGTTGGAGTCATCCCAATAGTTTGTAACAGCGGCATATTATACCTGTTTGTTCTATAAGTAGTATCCATGCCAATATACCAGGGGTATGCTCGGATCAACTCTACAGATACTGGACGTGCACAGAAAATATGACTCAACACACCTTTTTCATTAGCCGTACTAATCACATACTTGTGTTGCTGAGTAATGTCAAAGAAGTGATCCACCAACGTTTTACCCTTCCTCTTTTCCACCTGCATCCTACTCTTGTAGTTGTATATCTGTTTGATCACAACGTGCTCGTCTGGACATTTCTACTGAATCGCCAACTGCATTGCAGACGGTTTTACATTAATGGCAGTCAACTCGTCAACAATCGTCTTCGATTTATCACTAAGGCCGCTCATCTGCATCTGTCCCTCCTCGAAGCTGCCAAACGGGTGGTTATGCGTACCATTACGTCCAGGACATGAACGAATCCCAAAAGTAGATTTGCCTGAGCGAATTTGGGCTAGAAGCCAGAACGGGCATCCACAATATTGCGCCTTTGTTTCTCGCACCCGATTCTCGGTATCTCTAGGGGGAACACTCTTTTGACATCATAATAATTTCTTAGTCTCATCTGTCTTCGACGCCTTAACCACTATGAAATTAAAAGATATCGCAGTCTTTTTCGCCCATAGTACAGCGGCTTCAATAGTTGCGAATCTTATGTTAGTATTGAAATAATGACTGTAATCAACACCGTCACCACCATAATCATGTACATGAAATATATCAAATTTTAAAAAATACAATATACATAACAAAATAACTAATTCATTTACGTAAACAATAATTAATTATTAAAGCTAAATATCACATACAACTATAAATTTAATTAAATTAAACAAATATATACCACATACCTAATTTACACTAATTATTAAATTAACCTAATTATACCGAATAAATTAAATTAAACATGTTACTGAAGCACAAAAAAATTAAATGACATACAAAAAATAATAACACAACATTAAACAACTAATTACATTAATTATATATAAATTTAACTAAATTAATCAAATAATAATACAACAACTAATTACATTAATTATAAATAAATTTAACTAAATTAATTATAACGACAAAATTACAACAAAAAAAATTTGAAAAAAAATGCCTGCTCAGGCTGGCCAGCCTGACCGCTGGTCAGCCCGGGAACCTTGGCCGGTGAGAAATCCGGCCTAGGGTAGAAGATTGGTCGGGTCAGGGACCGGCCAAGGCCAACCTGAGTCAGTTGCTTTTTTATATTTTTTTTAAATAGGATTTGGGGGCAAAACAATTTACTGGTATCGATGGTGCTCTTTCCCGTTGTTGTGTGTCTTGTTCCACCATTTTTTTAAACTTTGATTTTTTTAGTAAATCTGGATTTAAAATTTGATAAAAAAGAAGAAGAAGATGAAGTTGGAGAAGGAGAAAAATAGAAAGAAGAAGAAATGAGGAAGGAGAAGAAGAAAGGGGGAATAGAAAGGGTTCATGGGCAAAATCGTCAAAAACGAAATGCAGGTGAGTAATTTCTAAACTGCGAAAAGTAATACTCACCTGAAAACCCTGTTCCTCGCTCATATTCTCGATCCAAGCTCCACCACCGACGTCTTGTTTTGCGAAATCACAAAAATCTAATAAATAAATTACAAAATAAAATAATTTTCATTTCTTGAT